TCGATGGATACCATTCGGCTAAATGGTTGTCCACCTGGACGCTCGAGTTTCGACCAACAAGGAAATTCTTGATCCATTGGTGCAGCGAACCACCAACATCAGACATCCTCAGCCTGTCGAAGAGCACGGCATGATTAACCTTGCCAAAAGCCTTACTGAAGTCAATGTAAATGACGTCGACCGACTTGCCTTGGTTCAGCGCTTGTAACCATTCGTGCCTCGTCAACAGTAAGTTGGTGATGCACGAGCAAGCTTTCATGAAACCATGCTGTGAGGGCGTCAAGAGGCTTTTCGACTCGAGAAGCTGCAGAAGGCTCTTCTTCACGATCTTCTCGAGCGTTTTTGCCAAAACGGCGGTCAGGCGGATCGGCCGGTAGTTATCCACTTTGCTTGGGTTACCACCTTTCAGTATTGGCTTTACAACTGAGCATTTCCAGTCGCCCAGTAATAGTCCAGTGGATAGTGACCAGTTGAACAGCTCAGTTACAGAAGGCGCGATGATGGGCGATAGGGACTTGAGAATCGGTGGGTGGATTCCATCTGGTCCAGCAGGCTTCGTTCCGTTAAGACTTGCCAGAAGCTTGTGTACATCTTCAATGCTGCAGTCCAGGCGGTCTAGTTCAGCGGGAGCGGTACTCGTCGAACTCGTTACAGACACCTGGTCAGTTGCAACTACGGAGGCGAAGTGCGCAGCCAATGCGGACACACGATCTGTGCTCGAGGTTAGAGGCTGTACACCTTAAAACGCACCAGTGTTCACAATAGCCAATACTAATTATAGGATGTAAGAAGACGAAAAAAGAGAAGTCAAGGCCAAGGAGCACATGCACCAGTCATTGATCTAACGCCGTTCGCCGTTTCCTGTGCATATTACATGTCATGCAGCCTTTTATATTAGGTTCGTTGTCTGCTACATTAAGCCTGAATAGGTCAAAAGCTTTATCAACAGAGCGGAAACTGCAGAGGTGATCAATGAACCCAGGTGGAAATGCACAGGAACTTAAGAACAACAGATGTTGGTTGCAGAGAATCGCATTTTATTGAGGAAGAACGTTGCGCTTATTCTAGTGTTCTAATAAAATACAGATAGGATGAATATTCCGTTTAGTATTTCACAACGAGAAACGTGTCGCAAATGAAGAGAATAGTAGGGTACATGAACGCGTCAATGTGTCACGTCACACATGAGTGGTAAGTTAACTTCAAATCTTCTGCGCTACATACAATCGAACCCGCCCACCAACGGGATATTTCAAAAGTGGACAATAAAGCGGGGTGGGCGATTAACCGATATTGCCATTTTCTCAAAAGGGAAACAACCATTGTGCAGCATATCACTGGAATTGTAACGTGCTAAAAATACGTAATTGTAACTAAAGCCTACAGAAGACGTTTATTCAGAAAATCATTACCTATAACTTAAAAATTATAACATAAAGTATCCTACCTGGATAGCAATAGAAACCGGCGCTACTGTATATTTTTGCTGAGAAAACATTCCAATGTCAGTTGCACATTACTTTGAGCTGCTACTCCATTCGCTTTTGTACTGATGAAGTCCAATTTGGACCAGAAATCGTTGCCTAACCCATGCAAAATAACCGTGGCTATATAGATCATTCACACAGTTCTTTGCTCTTAAATGCGGCAGACGCTGATTGCTGTTACTCCCGGAAGGATCCGGCACCTCATGCGCTGAGTCGGTATTTTCTTTCTGTTCTAGTCGGTTCTCTAAAATTTTATTGATATTTCATCTTCAACAGTTGTCAGATCTGAGATACATTCCATGTCGTTGTCAATGGCGACGAACCCTTCCGCATTTATGACTGAGATTGTGTAAGCGCTGATCTCGCCATCAGCGATGACGGCGTCATCAGAAAGTTCATCGATTGCCAGCTGACTGAAGCCAGCGTGACGAAATCAAACTTTTGTTGCACCGATAACCTATCTCCAACTTTCTGAAACGAAAAGAATAGCACAGAGCACAGAAACCTTGACGCTGACATCCACCGCTGATGATGAGCCAAATAACACGTTGTTTTCGATATGATAAAGAATTCGGTCCACAATTTCCTTGCGGTAACGAAATTTCAGATCTATAATCACACCGTGGTCCATGAGTTGAAGAAGGCTGGTCGTGTTTGGCGGCAAAAATGCCAGTTGAATGTTTTTCAGGCCTACTCTTTGTAGATGGATTGTGTAATTATCCAAGAGTAACATAATTTTTCAGCCACTTTGGCCTAGCTCATTGTCCCATTCGAGGACCCACTCGGTGAAAAGTATCTTCGTCATCCACGCATTTTTGTTAACTCTGCAAGTTACCGGAAGTGTGTCCATGTTCACGCCATTAAAACATTGTGGTTTTTTACTGTTTCCAATCCAAACCAGTTTTCTTTTATCCGTGCCTGACATTCGCGCAGCATAGGAGAGTGATCCTATACATGGTTTTGTTCGATCCGAGGAGCTTGTCGGCAGAAAAACACAAAGAGCCTCTGGAGTTGATCGGTTTAAAAGACATGTTACTTCTGCATTGTACACGTTGTCATCATCAAGCAATCGATCTTTCAACCAATTTTCACAGGCTACACTGTCCGCGGAACGCTTTTTGCCATGCGCACGTTTATACACAAGTTGGTTATTATTCTTCCATCTTTGCAACCATCCTTCAATGGCAGCAAAGGTTTTTCTAAGTCTCCCCGAATTCTTCTGTCTTTTTCTTTAGAAGCGGGCCTGTAGCTGTTTGGTTTGCTCACAAACCGATATCATCCAGTCTAACTTTTCTGTCAAGGACAAATCCTTGCTGCTACTGGACATACTTGTGAGTAACTAGTAGAGTACTGACAAATGTGAAGCGGAAATAGTACTCGACTTTGACCAGTTCTCGAGTTTTGAAAAGGGTCGAGGGCTTGCCCAAAGCCGTTTGCACATTTAGCTTGCTCGTGTATAGAATGACGTAGGTAACTTTCTCTTCTCTGTCAATAACGTCGCCGACATGTTTGTTGTTCTTGACTCGATCGGACTGGTTGGTTGTGGGGTAATCGTAATAAAAGATAGTCAGAGCAAGGGCGTAAGGTTGACAAAGCGACAAGAGCACAGCCAACGCAGTTGAGCAATCAAGCGGTGGGACGACCCCGGCAATCAGACGGTGAAAATTTGGCATATTTATGAGAAAAGAATTTGTAGCTCAGTGGTAGAGCAGCGAACCGGAAATTCGTGGACCAGGGTTCGATTCCCCGTCAAGGCAGATTTTCGTGTGGAGTTTAATCGTGACTTCTGCTTTCTACGATGCTTACGTTACTCACAAACATCCTTCAAATAATTTGTATTTTGTAAAAGTGGGCAATAAAGCGGGTTCGACGGTATGTTCGTATTCTAACGCCTTGTAGCGTTCTAGGTAGGCCAATTTTCGAGTGCATTCCGGAATCAGTCTAGTGTATGTGAGTTGAACGCGCTCAAGCACCACCGTATCCTGGTGACATGCTCTATTGTGAACAATAGAATTGTTCTCCAGAAACAGACGTGCACATGTCTTGAATAATATAATCCTGTTACCTGTTGAATCGAGCAGTCTGAAGAACATCGCATGCGCATTTTAGTCTTTGTAATGCAATATCGGGATATGTTTAGCGAAGCACAAACAATTGGAGTAATGTGATCATAGGTTACAAAATTGAAATGTCAAGGTGGCTATTTCGCAAGAAAGAGCAAAAGTAAAGTCAAATATGTCGACAGCCTCTGTCGAAGAGGAAACATAGTAAACCAGACGTTGGGAACAGAAGCTAGAGACAAATTCGAGCAGCTTCTTCAGTGAGGTGTAAGAGTGCATGTCTCGAAGAGGTGTAGGCCACGTGCACTGCAGTCGAATTCCACACCTACCGCAACGAATCGGTAGAGGTAGCAGAACTGGGTGGACGCATGGGATGAACCCACGGAGCTCCTTGCTATGGAACGTTTCGCCCGTCTTACTTGCTAGCAAGTTCTATCAACTGCAGAAGATAGCATTTTAATCTGATACTTTGAACACAATAGTTGGACAAAATCACGCTGGATAGCACACAGAAGTTGGAATTGCTCAACAGATAAACCGATGTACAAAATATGGAGAAGAATCTTTCTCACAATCTTCTAGAGCACATTTGCCAAAACAGAAGTGAGACAAATCGGCCGGCAATTATCCACATTGCGTGGGTCACCGCCTTTTGGAATCAGCGGTGGATGACCACCTAACGGACTGGTGGTACTCCTCCACTAGCGGTGAACTCCAAGGCACAGTGCTGGGGCCAATTTTAATCATGATCCACACAAATGAAGTGCCGCGGCTTCTTCGGTCACCTTGTGCACTAGTTGAAGACGATTGGAAGATTTGGAGCGGTAATGATTCACCCGACGAATGTGACGTCCTTCAGCAGGACCTCGACCGCTTATCCCGGTGGTATGCAGAAGCTGACCTACCGAACAAACAGGAAAAGTCCTCGCTTATGAGCCTGGAGAGGAGTAGTAATGGGCGTGCGTACACCCTGGTCGGAAATTCGCTGCATCTCACCAGTTCCGGAAAGGATCTAGGCGTATTCCCACGCTGTGATCTGAAGTCTGTCGACAAAACGAACAGACTGTAGGCGAACGGACTACGCCTGAGTTGGGCACTTAGACGCAACTTCTGCACTTGGTCTGAAGAGATTGCCATTCGTCTGTTCTCATCCATGATAAAATTGGTGCTCGAGTACGGCTCACCCGCCTATTGTTCGATCACAATAGGTGAGCTGCAGAGAATGGAACGGATCCAGCATGTAGCTACCCGGCTCATCCACAGTTTACGGGGCATGCCGTAGGAGGACCGATATAGGAAACTAAGGCTGTATACCCTGTCATATCGCCACCTTCAAGTTGATCGCATAATGACGCACCACATATAGCACCTGGGCCACTTCTTATGTTGAGGCCGCTGCTGCACGTTCGCGCACCAAGCAGCACACGCGGACACCAGTACAAAATAGTGGTACCGGATTTAAAGCGCATCGCTCAACCTCTATGCTTCGATCGTCGAATGGTGGATTACTGGGACAAGTTACCGTAAACGCTAATCGGTGTCGGAATTTAAGAGATTCCTTGACGTCTACTTTGCGGATTACAGGTACAGGGAGCGTATCGCACTCGGCTATGATGTAATGCAGCTGCAATATGCTGCCACCGCGCAGGAAGCAGTGACGTGATTCCGCGCATGTGCTCGATGTACCTGCAATGAAGCAACACAGATATTCATCTTCTCGTGCTCTATTCTCAGTATCAAGTACTTGGACCCGAGAAGTGGAGATCGCTTTACGCAACATGTACATCGCCGAGGTCCGCGAATAACGCGCACCACAACGGACGAGGAGTCAGCGTTGGTTTGAATGGAATGAGATCTGGGTGAATGGAATGTGGCACATAATTCTAACTTGTACCATGAAGTGCAATTCGGTTTGTCCAGCCGCAGAGACCAGAAGTGACGTCAAACGAGCGAACGGAATCATTCATTTCACACTATAGTACCTGATCTGAAAATTGGAATATTCTACGAAATAAGATACGGTAGACAGTGAGTAACATAATAAAAGAAACTTAGGGTATAGTTTAGTGCACCGAAAATATGCAATATGGGAAAATTTAAAAAGACGAGTAAATAATGATATCAGCTACACACTCACTGAAATGAACAGATTGAACATGCCTTCGTAAAGTACTCTTCACAGCAAACGATTTGTCACAGCGTTTGCATATATGAGGGCGCTGATCTGGATAGTGGATTAGAAGACGATGAAGTACAAATGAATCACACAGGAAAAATACCCACAGAATAGTCATTGATCTGTTAGAATGGGTGCACACCAGTTGTGATGCACCAGCGCCATAGGGGTAGGCAACTAAGACGAGTAGTTACCATTCGAAACAATGGATGTTATTAAGTGATAATCAAACAAGAAGAGACAGCAACCTAACGGATAGACTGTGTGGCATCCATGAGCAATGACAGGTTTATTCCGAGATTACTAAGCAGGTGAGTTGCATAACATGCTGGCGCATCTCCGCAATTCAGACAGCATGAAGTGGACAGATATCTCACCGAAACGATGACAGCGTGTACCTGAAGGCGCCAACCGACAACCAGACCTAGTGAGGCCCGTTCTGTTCTTTTAACATCCGAATGAGTAAATTGTTCCTTCTCAGATCGGGGCATACCACCTGTCAGAGTCTACGAGTGCGAAACCAAAGCAAAATTTGTGGACGCAGCAATGGCTCGTACCTCTTCATATTTCTTACCATCTTGCTGTAAACTTGTATTACTTTTCGCTACCTTCGATTAAGCACCACCTATCTCCGTTGCATTCTAATAATCAATCTTGGATTGCCATCTTTTCGGTTTCCATGTGTCTGCACCTAAAGCCAGATTGCTCACGTTTGTGCGTTTCGGTGTCAATACGAGATATGCTTGATTAATTGCAAGTTTAATTTAATAATTAAGCAATTTTCGTCCGATTCTATTTGGTAGTTTCCGGGTCACTTTGAAAGTATATCACCAACATAATCGCGTCACTTTTTCTTACCGCAGTTGTTGATCGACCTCATGAATCCTCCTTTGTTTTGCTGCATTCGACCAGGAAAAGTCCTCCTGGGATACAGTGCCAGTATATACCAAAATAAAAACATCCACAACTGTTTCCGCTTTGGCTGTGAAGACTAAAACATAACTTGATACCGCCGTCCAGCGCATCGCCTATTGCAACTGATCCACCTTAACATTGTCGTAGAGTTCCACGCGGGACCTTCGTAACAAGGACTTTACCCAGATTATACCACGACGCTGGACAAATTTGCGGTTTAACTTCTTTCTACCCATATATTCTTCTCTATGGAATCGGTTCCAAATGAGGTTGTGTGAGACTTTGCAACCATTGCGCAGTAAGCTGGGAAGCTACCTCGACCTGAACATTATTGTCATTTTGTTCGTGGAGATGATCACTTGAAGATCTATTTAATGAAGGCCCAGATAACGTCTAATGGGTGTAATACCACAACTTTACGCAATGTAATTAGCCCTCAGTGTTTGCAATATAATCAAAGCACAAAAGTGCCACAAACCTCCGAATAAAACACAAACATAGGAGACACATGCCAGAAACACAGACAAATATATGAACAAACTTTATATTGCTCACGCAACAGCGTGATATTACTTGTACACATACGGTCTGTGCCAGGCATGGACCCAGCTTCTCACTTGATGAGAAATACACCTATAATTATGATGATGACTGTAACAGAACTTGCAATAGCAGTCCCTAATCCCAACTCTAGGACCACATGCGCAAACATTTCTAGTTATCTGTAGTGATGTGCTCCATACAACCTGCTATGGACACGACACGTTTTCTGCGTCCACAAACACTTTGGGCTCAAACATGTACACCAGGTGGGTTAAACATGCGGCCCGCGGGCCACCTGCGACCCTACGCAAGCACACATACAGGAGAGACTGAAATCAAATCATTTAAAAGCCAAAAATTGTAGTTGCTATGATTTCAACTAGATAGATGCTTTTTCCACTAATTGATTTCATAAGCAAAATATAGGCATGAATGCGGCTGCAAGGTAAGAGAGTTAAGACTTCTAACAATAGATATGACGTCAACTTCGATGCAGTAAGCATATCCATCTCCCGGGGATTTGATTGGTTGTTGGCGGCGCATGCACTGCTTGATTGGTTACAATTGTGTGAGACATCATGTGATTGATTGACTGCACGCGGACAAATAAAACTAGTTCGCAAGTGCAAGTTTTTGTTTCTGACAAAGTGAGTGGAACATTTAGAATAAAATGAACACTGTTCAGATTCCACATCATCTTCATATCTATTGTTCTACAGCCATAGGAAAAAGGACAGTGAACGAAGAACCCGTGGTTCAGAAAAAATGGGAATAACAACATTTTCACAGTGGTGAACGGAGATATATTGTGTAAGTTGCAACAACAGTATAATGGCAATGTTCGGCCCTACCTACATTTATGAGAAGTTATGTTCCACAATAAAAGCAAAAAACCTCTCAACGAACAAGGCTGACTGATAAACACTTGTCAACTGCAGTCAAAGTCGGAACTGCAGAGGGATTTCAAACAGAGATAGCAACAGCCATCAACAAGTGTCAAGCGTAGATACGACACACTTGACTCTTCATACTGAATTGCTGTAATGTTTGTAAAATGCAGTTGCAGCTGTCATATACAAATTTATTCTCCAGTTAAAAATTTAATCAAACCTCTTTTGTTAAACTACGTTATCATTTTGCGTGCATGAATGTGCCGCGTTCATTCACATACACATCATACGTTACTATGTCGAAACAATGAGAAAGTGTGTGATAACTATAAAGGGGCTAGCTACGTTCGACCACGGTTGCTTTCGCAGCATAGCTCATATTTGATGGGATCACCCCACGAGCAATGAGCGTGTTCGGTATCGTGAATTTGGTGCAGGAAAAGTGAGTGAACCGCTTAGCACCATTGTACTATACACCAGCCTCCGATGGCTGGGCCATATATTGTGCATGCCAGCCCGACTCCCGCGAGGTGCGTTGCTTGAGCGGCGGGAGTGCGGATGGACGAAGAGGAGCGGAGGCCAAGCGATGACTTGGTCGAGAGGAATTAAGTTCCTCACTTCGAAGATGGCGTCGGTTGATGTTTCCAGACCGCATGGCTTTCATCATCATCATCATCAACAGCAGTACATTAGCCACTTGAACTGATGCTTCGCTGCCATACAACCATAAGGAGCTATGAAATAAAGAATAATAGGAGGGAGAGAAGGGGAAATTACCTGAAAATCTTATTGTCTTAAGTAAACATTCAGAGTCAAGGCGCCTACACCATGTGTAGACAACATGCCGTCACAAACAGCTGGCTATCGTGCAAACATAAGGCGGCATTGGCGAGACAGCTTCCTTCCGGCTTTCACTGCCACGCGTCATAATCAGCCATTACCCCGCAGATAACAGCATCATCATCATCATCATCATTATACACGTTAGCTAGAGGTGTAAACCACCTCAGCTACTGTGCCGCTATACATAAGAAAAAGAAAATAAATACAACAGTTGCATGCCAGCTGAGCTACCAGCAACGGGTGGGCATCGTTCCGGAAAGCTACCAGCCGGCTACTAGGCAACAAGAAAAATTATTATGTAAAATTATACTACGCTACGAAATGAGATCGTAGTTGGAGGGGAAGGCTAAAAGGGATGGGAAGGGACAAAGAAACTCACAGCAGGAACGCCACTGAGGTCGGCTAATTGCCATGTCAGCAAGTGTATTCAGCCAAAAGTGTTAACCGTCTTTTGGAACCTAACCAGAGAGCCGTGAAGCTCCGACCGAGGTCAACTCCGAAGAGAGGGTATTCATTCCTCTGGACCAAGTCATCGTTTGGCCACCCCTCCTCTTCTTCCATCCACATCCCCGGTGAGCAAACAACGCACGTCCCAAGAGTCGGTGGGCTGGCATGCGCAACACGTGGTCGAGCCATCGAAGCCTGGTGCGTGAAATGACGGTGCTGAGGAGTTCAGTTTCCCTTCTTGTGCCGTAAACAAGGCGTCGAACACGCCCGTTGCTCACGCGGTGTTCCCACCAGATGTGAGCCAAACTGCGAAGGCACAGATGGTCGAACGTAACTAGCCTCTTTAGATAACTCAGTACCAAACACACATTAAACAGGCAATCCAATTAGAAGACGGCAGCAGACACGCCACTGGTGTCTACTGCGAGCTACGTCCTGTAAAGTCTCGAGCAAAGCACAAGGCGAGTCAGGTGGACTCCAGCCCAGAAGGCGAGACGGACCAACGGCACCCAGTTTGGTCGTCAGTGACTTCATTTCCGCTACCAAGTCAAGTTCTGTCCACCTCGAGCCTTGCACCACCCTACACCTGGTAGACCGAACAAGGCCCTCCTAGGTAAACAGTGGTCATGCATACGTATCACGTGCCCATGCCAACGCAACTTATTCAGTGCTATCTGTTGTTCTAGGGAGCTAGCATGATTAGCACTACCCAGTACGCGCCTACGCACATCATCGTTGCGGACACGCTGGTGCCATCCGACACTAGCAATGCTCCGCAGACAACGATGATCAAAGACTTGAAGGCGCCTCAGATCTTCAGACCAAAGGGACTAAGTCACACTACCATAGAGCAGAACGGCTCTCACTGTGGCCTTGTAAACGCGGCCTTTCAGACGGCGGTAAATTCCCCTCTGTCGCCAAAGATGCCGCAGGTTCAAGAAGGCAGCTCTGGCCTTTGCAATGTGTGAGCTG